CAATATGGAGTCCCTTTAGTTACAATATATATTTAAAATAAAGCTACAGCAGCAGCTCCTTCAAAGGCAGTTCTTAACAGGCTACGTACAAATTCATCCAAAAATGGTTCACGCTGTTTCATTTATAAAATTCCATTCATAACAAGCGGTCTCCAATTCATAAGCTTACATGTAATTCATTAGAAGGGCAGTTTCGTTCTTAGCCCTGCAAAGGGCGATTGGAGGACGCAAGCCCTCGGTAAAGGGACATCAAGCCTTTCCACTCTGAGATGGGATTGGACCAGGTAAGTTCTCTGTGAACAGAGCTGGTGGTTTCAGTATTAAGTATCCACAACACAAGTGGCACTTTGCACCTGGGCAAAGAGGCCAAGGACTGCCTGGTGCAAGGAGCCTGGATTTGCATTTCCCCTCTGGATAGAGCGGTGATCATCGTAAGACAGCAGGGAAGCACATTGGCAGGGAGGCTGTGAACGTCTGCACTGCTCCGGACAGACACAGGTGTGAATCTCTAGTGCTGTTAGCCAGGCACATCTCTCCAGCACTGAGACGTCTCGGAGAGGTCTAAGGGGAACAAGAAATCTCCCAGCATTCTGGCAGGTGGGAGCACAGCTGCATCCTTAGAGACAAAGCTGCCCCTTAGCAGCTGCCCGGGTACGCTGTGGCCATGGTTAGTTAATGCTCACACCCAGCTTTGACGTGGCAGAGTGCTCGAGGAGTGCTCCGTATTGTTCTGAACTGGGAGGTAGGTGGCTGTGATCACCATCCTGACAGCTCATCGAGAGTCCTTGTGAATGTCACGGCACTATCTGTATCCACCCTGTGATTTATCGGGTAGCCTGTCAGTATCCGTTGGGAGAAATGGAGCTCTCCCCAGTCCAGAGCGGTAGCTGATGCCTGTTTTATCATGTCTGCTGTACTTCTAGAAAACAAACGTGCTCCCAGATTCCTTCACTAATAAACCCCCTCATAGGAAGTTACGTGCCAGCCACAGGTACCCTATTTGCCAGACTGCTGTGGGAACGTGTTGTGTGCTCTTTGCTTTGTATTACGGTTCCAACTAAAACTAGTTGATAAACGGCTAATTATAACCGTTTTAATACATGATAAATCGTTACAGGGTCCCACAGATGGATAATTTTCTTATAGCCCCTGTAGCGCCTCCTAGTGGAGAGTTTCCATCTGTCAGCTCAGCGCTCTGCATCTAATCTGGTTCTGGACAAGCCTGAAAGATTCTGCCCAGTCTGTGATGCCAGAAGGAGAGGTTTGGTGATGTGGACACCTCCAGCCTGGGAGGCAGGCCGAGACCTGAGACCCACTGAACTTATTTCGCTTGTGCTAAATAGCCATCAGAGGGTCGCTGCCAGCTGGGGCTGGATTGGAACCTCTGGTCTCTTGGTATCCCAGTTCTGGGACAGGGTCATGTTTGCAAGGCCCCGTGGGTTTCTGAAGGGAAGGGTGCCTGCGGAGGGGGCATTGCTCTTGCTGCTAGCCAAGCATGTTGGTTTGAAAGGTGCTGAGACTGCATTCTGCTCCTCACCCACATTTGTTCAGAGCACTTGTAAATGAATGGGGATGCCTATCTCCTAGAGCTGGAAGGAACTTCAAAAGGTCATCAAGTCCAGTCCCCTGCCTTCACAGCAGGACCAATTACCATCCCAGACAGATTTTGCCCCAGATCCCTAAATGGCCTCCTCAAGGATTGAACTCACAACCCTGGGTGTAGCAGACCAATGCTCAAACCACTGAGCTATCCCTCTTCAGCAGCAATGAGCCCCCCTGTCAGCTGCTGCATTGCCCCTTCTCCCCTCCTGCCTCTGCTGCCCTGCCACAGGATGATGGATTCCAGCAGCTGCTGCCGAAATCTGCCAGCCGGCCGAGATGTTCCACCCCGTGACACCAGGACAGCAGCCGCCTCCGGAGAGCGCTAGCATCTGGATCCCTGCTGACGGACGGGCACAGCTGCTGTGGGGAGATGGTCAGGGCTGTCACGTGCGTGGTTGGCGCTGTCAGTGTGGAAGAGGGATGGACCTGTCTTCTGCCCCTGCAGAGCTCTCTGCCAGCCGCCACCCCCCTTCCCTTCCCTCCTGCAATGGAAGGACTTTTGGAAGGTTTCAAGGACACAGAAAAAAGACAAATTGCAAACTCCCCGGGCCAAGGCAGCTCTTTTCAGGGCTAGCCTGAAAGAACAAGGCCCCTCAGGATGGGGGATGGTGCTCGGCAGTCCTGTAATACAGACGAAAGGGGGGACTTTTCCAGCTTGGACCTGCCCCGGGCTCCCTCATGCACATTGGGTCTGACTCTGACCCCATGTGCACTGGTGCAAATCCAGAGAACCAGTGACTCCGTTCATATCACTGAAGCTGGACCTGGCAAGTGAGGCACCCTCTGTCTCTTTCTCTCTACGCGCCTCCCTGCTCCTCCCTTTTGCTTTCCTCCTTCCCTGAGACCTCACTGCTGGTCCCAGCGTCCTAGTCTACACCTTCTATCGTTGCCTCGAGAAATTGTGATATTAACTGAGAACTGCAGGGGGCAGTATGTAGCCACATGCAATGGGCACGCTTGTGGCACTGCGCCCCCTACTGCCTTGCCCCTCTCACTCACAGCAGAGAGGATGCTATAAGGCTCAGTTGTGAAAGAGGCTGGTTGAAAAGTGGAAGTGGGGAGGGGGAACAATTGAAAATTGTGAAACTTTTATGTTTGTTCTGCAGGTTTTGAAAGGGGGACAAGTTTTCACTTTCTCAGCGTTTTACTGAAAACTTGTTTTGAAAGTCTTAATTTCCCCCCTCCCCTTTTTTCTTTCTGCCTCCCTTTTCTCACCCTTCCCCCACTTCGCCCCTGAAAACGGGGGCCGAGTGCATTAAACAAAAAGACAAACTGAAAAAATACAAGAAAAGAAAAAAACTATTATTTGTTTTGTTTCCTTGTTTCACGGAGGGAAAAAAAATAGAAAAAAAATTGGGGGGAAAAAATCCAAAATATTTTAACAAAAAATGTCCAGTTTTGAAAAAAAAATGCTGGTTTTCAACAACAAAACCAAAAAAGTTTTCATCTGAAAACTTTCAGCCAACACTATTCTAAAGGAAGCTGGAAGGCGTGGGGTGCTGATAGATTTTTATCCTTTCCTATTGGCCAGGCCTATGTATGCTGTCTTTTTACTTGCTATGACTGGTGCTAAAATTCCTGAGCCTGTGTGTTTATTTCCTGCTCCCCATTTTCTTTTGTTTGTTACTTTGCAACTATAGAAAATACCTAGATTGTAAACTCTTTGGGGTAGGGACGCTTTCGTTCCTTGTATTTGTGCAGCACCAAGCATAGTGGATGCTGGACTATAACCGGCGCTCTCAGGTGTTACCTCAATACAACTAACTAACTAACTAACCTAAATGACTTGCTGTGTTTCTAAGAAGAGCTCAGAAAACATTCTGGCGGATCTTTTGCTTTGCCATGACAGGGCCTGAAATGGAAAAAAGATCAGCACTGAGCAAAAAATAATTTATGTCTAACTGGAGTAGCCCTAACTTAGTTAACTTAGTTAGTTGTATAGCAGTAGCACCTGAGAGCTCTGATCATAGTCCAGTACCCATTGTGCTAGTTCGTTAGTTAGTAACTCCGGGTCTTGAGGCTCTTCTAAAGAGGATGGTGAGCGATTGCTCTCCATGTCCAGTGAAGGTGGAAAAGAAGGAATGGGTTTACTCTGCAGCCAGGGATATGTAGGTTATGATTAGGAGCACTTTAAGAGGCTGCCTAGGGAAGTGGCAGAATCTCTTTCTGTGGAGATTTTTAAGAGTTGGTTGGACAAACACCTGTCAGGGATGGTCCGGGTCTGGCTTGCACCGCTGGGAGCAGAGAGCCAAGCCCAGCCAGCTCCACAGCTCGGAGCTGATGGAGCTCCCACTGAGGTGCAAGTGATAGGCAGTGATAGGCAGACTAAATACTGGGTCATGACAGGCTGAAAGCATTTACCATGGGGCCTGAGCCCAGAAAGGTTGAGAACCACTAGTGAAGATTTACTTGACCCTGTCTCAGTGCAGGGAGCAGGACTAAATGAACCGCAGTTTTGAGAAGGGCACTATGGTTTAGCTGGCTAATGCACTTACCTAATAAACAGGAGATCCTGAGTTCAACTCCCAGTGGTTTCTCCCTGTAGGCCTTTGCTCTGTCACCAAATAATATTCATAGGTAGCAGGTTTCAAACAAACAAATGGAAGATTTTATTCACGCAGTGCAGAGTCAACCTGTGGAACTCCTTGCCAGAGGATGTTGAGAAGGCCAGGATTTAAACAGGGTTCAAAAAGAGCTGGAAGATAAATTCATGGGGGATAGGTCTATCCATGGCTTTTTGCCAGGATTGGTAGGAAAGGTGTCCCTAACCTCTTGTTTGTCAGAAGCTGGGAATCGGTGAGAGGGAAGGGATCACATGATGATTCCCTGTTCTGTTCATTCCTTCTGGGGTACCTAGCATTGGCCACTGTTAGAATACGGGACACTGGGATAGATCGACCTTTGTGGCCATTCTTTATGTTATGTTCCAGGTCCCTTGCAGTCCTACTTTTAACACGTTCCTTCAATCCCAGTTAAAAATCCAATAATGCTTTCCCCAGAAAGGTTCCCACCAACTCTGCTCTATTGGCCCTTCAAGGTGTCAGTCAAGCTCTCTATCCTGATGTAACCTGGGAGCCACTCCCCTGCAGGTAGCAGAGTGAATGGGTGGAGACCTGCCTCCAGCGCCAATGGAGCCACACACCACTCAGTGCCTATGTGGCTGAACGCTCCAGTGCCGTCTGCGATTCCGCCGTTCAGCAAACGGACCCTGTCCACAGCCAGCAAGCCTCAGCACCCTCCCTCTGATCGACGCGACCTCTTGGTGTCCTACAACCCTCCTGCTTAAGTGCTTTGCTGAATCAGGGCCTACACGGTGAGGCTATAAATAGCCCTCTTGCTCATTCCTCACTTAGTCACTGATCCAGAGAAGCGGATGTCTAGCTGCCTGCATGCTCACAGTTAGCACAGCGCGGAGGTCAGAAACCTACCGGGAGAGTGGGGGAAATACAGCCAGGAATCTATTTGACTGAAAAAACGACAAGCGAGAGAACATGACAGAGCTGCCAGCCTGCATTCTCTGCTGCTCATCCTTGTTTGTCTGCAGAGTCCTGTCTGCTTCTGCCCAGCGCTATCGCTTTACATGCCTCCCCTCCTCCCAGCTTGGCTCAGCTGCCAAATTGCAACCAAGAGACTCTCCTAGGAATCAAGGCATATCCACGTGTGGCGGAGCGGCTTAAGAATACCCTTCACGCTGCTGCTAGTGAACAGAATGTAAGAGGGGACACGCCGACTGATTGTCCTCTTCTTCCCCCGCCTCCCGACCAGAGACGAGCAGCACGGTACGAAACAAAGCGTCCAGCCACAAAGTCCCGCTTCAAGGTCCCATGGACACGCCGCCCGTTCAGCGTTTCAGAAAGAGCAGCTCGAGAAAGGAGACTGTTGTGGGAACTCTCCCACCTGAAAACTCCCCCCCGGTGAAGCCGAAGCCGTCCAAGGAGCTGAAACCCATGATCGGTGCAATAGTCGTGGGGCTCATCCTACTCATCGCGGCGGTGGTGGCCTGGTGCTATTACACGGCGTCACTGAGGAAGGCGGAGCGGCTCAAGACGGAGCTGATGGACCTGCGGAAGGATGGGTTCGTCATCAAAAACCAGCATGGAGAGGTGGTCTTCAGACTGGCCTTCCAGTCGGGCAGCCTCGACCTGGAGTCCTGCTCGAAAGAAGGGGAGATTTTAACCTGCACCAGGTCGGACAAAGGGAAGCTGAATTTCTTCATTCAGACGGTCAAGCCCAAGGACACGGTGATGTGCTACCGCGTCCGCTGGGAGGAGTTTGTGGCGGACACGGCGGTGGAGCACACCATGTTCTGGGAGGACGCTCACTGGTACGGGGGCTGCGAAATGAGCGTCCAGCACTGGCCAATCAGGCTCCCCGGGTACCAGGAGCCCACGCCCTTTGTGACGAGCGACGTGTATTCCTTCAGGGACAGCTTTGGAGGCATCTTGGAGAGGTACTGGCTGTCCTCGAAAGCAGCGGCCATCAAGATCAACGACTCGGTGCCCTTCCACCTGGGGTTCAACGCCAGCAAGCGGTCGCTCTTCTTTCAGGCCAGGTATAAGGATTCTCCCTACAAACCTCCCTTGGGCCAGCAGCCTTTCCCGGAGCTGAGCTACCGCGTCTGCGTCGGCTCGGACGTGACTTCCATTCACAAATACATGGTGCGGAGGTACTTTAACAAGCCTTCCAAGATCCCGTCGGAAATCGCCTTCCGCTATCCCATCTGGTCCACGTGGGCGCTCTACAAAAACGATATTGACCAGGATAAGCTGTTGCATTTTGCAGAAAAGATTAAAAAGTACCGGTTTAATTGCAGCCACATTGAAATCGACGACACCTACACACAGACTTACGGAGACTTCGACTTTGATCCAGTCAAGTTCCCTAATGTGACTGAAATGTTCAAGACGCTGAAAAAAGAGGGATTTAAAGTTACCCTGTGGACGCATCCCTTTATAAACTACAATTCCTCCAATTTTGGCGTGGGAATAGAGCGGCAGCTCTTCATCAAGGAGCCGACGGGGAAACTGCCCGCCATGGTGAAGTGGTGGAACGGCATTGGGGCCATCTTGGATTTTACCAATCCCGCGGCCAGGGAGTGGTTTCAGAGCCAGCTGAAACAGCTGCGGTCCAAGTACGGCATCGCGTCCTTTAAGTTTGACGCCGGGGAGGTCAGCTACCTCCCGAAGCAGTTCAGCACCTTCCGGCCCTTGTTGGACCCCAACATCTGGTCCAGACGGTACACGGAAATGGCCGTTCCGTTCTATGAGCTCGCCGAAGTGCGGGTTGGCTACCAGTCCCAAAACATCTCGTGCTTCTTCCGCATCATCGACCGGGACTCTGTTTGGGGATATGAGCTTGGCCTCAAGTCCCTGATCCCTACCGTGCTCACCATTAGCATGCTGGGATACCCTTTCATACTACCTGACATGATTGGAGGAAACTTTCTCCCCAACAAGACAGAAGGGGCTGTTGAAATCTCAGACCGGGAGTTGTACATCCGCTGGCTGGAGCTGTCGGCCTTCATGCCCTCCATGCAGTTCTCAATACCCCCCTGGCTCTATGACAAGGAAGTGATCGAGATTGCACAGAAATTCACAGAGCTGCATGAGTCGCTGGTCGCCCCTCTCCTGTTGGAACTGGCTGGGGAGGTCACCGACACAGGAGACCCCATCATACGGCCCATCTGGTGGATTTCTCCCAACGACAGATCCACCCATGAAATTGACTCCCAATTCCTCATTGGGGACACCCTCATGGTGGCCCCCGTCCTGGAGCTGGGCAAGCAAGAGCGCGATGTGTACCTCCCGGCCGGCAAATGGCGCAGTTACAAAGGGGAGCTGTTTGAGAAGACCCCGGTCCTGTTAACGGACTATCCCGTGGACTTGGATGAAGTTGCCTATTTCCTCTGGGTCTTGTAACAACTGGATCCATCAGTTTTCAGCTTTGTGTACGGGCCATGGATTGAAAAACTGGGAGCGATTGGTGTCTGAGATAAACATGCCTCGTTATGTGGCTCTCAGTGGCGATCGTGATTCCAATGGCAGATTATTATTCTCGTGGGGTAAGAAATAGGACATGTAAAATATCTTGGTATGCAATTTGTCCGTCAAAAGGTCCAGGTCCAAAGCTTGACTGCTTGGTTGTGGTTTCATTTTTAGATATATAGAAACACAGTCTAAGAACATCGGCACGTCCACGCTGGGTCAGACCAAAGGCCTGTTTAGGTCAGTGTCAGCTGTCTACCAACAGCGGCCAGTGCCAGGTGCCCCCAGAGGGAATCAACAGAAGAGGGAATCATCCAGTGAACCGTTCCCAGCTTCTGACAAACAGAGGTTAGGGACTTCATTCCCGTCCATCCTGGCTAATAGCCATTGATGGACCTAACCTCCATGAATTTATCTGGTAGTCCTGGCCTTCACAGGGTCTAAAGAAAGGGAAGAGCTGAGACACACCTTGCGTTGGCTGGGTATCAAACCAAGAGAGGCTGTTTGGACGGCGGCCATGCTAACCGCTACACCATCAGTGCTCTACTTGGGCTACTTCCCAGCCCTATGTAACCTTGATGCTCTTTTTTAAAGGGGCCGTTCGATGGTTTCCTTTATTAGCCACTGACTCTGTGGCGCCGATATTTTTATTTTATTTTCAAATTGCTTTGTCGCTGGCTGAGGAATTGCTCAGCGCGGAGCAGTGCTTTGAAAAGGAGCTCGTGATACTTCTGCAGGGTCTGTTGACTCCTTGCCATGACCGCACGGGATGGGGTTGGAGGCAGTAGCACAAACAGGTGCGCTCAGTAACAGTATGGCAATGGCTTCCCTCCCCAGGAAATATTAGTGACTGTTGTCTTCACTAAACCTACACTCACCTAGCTCGGGCCCCAGTTCAACACATGCTTAAAGCCCATTGACTCCAAGAATGAAATCCTGAAGCCACTGCAGTCCTTGAGTGCTTTGAAGGAGCTTTTCCTATTTTGCTGGGTTTTGATTAGAGAGAGGGCACTGGCGAAGAATGCAGGAGACCGAGATTTTGGGCCTGGATTTGTGCTGGGTTTTGATTAGAGAGAGGGCACTGGTGAAGAATGCAGGAGACCAAGATTTCGGGCCTGGATTTACCGCTGGCCTGCTGAGTGACCTTGGTAGGTCACTTCTCTTCCTAAGTTTCCCTGTCTGTAAAATGGGCAGAATGATCTGACCGCCCAAGTGCCAGGAATTCGTAAAGCGTGAAAACCCCCCCTCTTCCCCGCACCTGCCCAATAAACTCAGCAGGACTCATTTAACTCCCTTCCCATCCACCAGTGAGAATATCCCACCAGAAACAGACAAACCATTTCACTCACCCACCACGCCGCACCTGTGGCTTGGCTCTGCAAGACGCTGCAGATCAAGAGTGTTCCCACCTCTGAACCCAGCTTTGTGAGTCCGTTTTATTAAGGGGCTGGATAGGCAGGGCCTCACTACCGTCTTTTACAACAGCTGGCTCATGCGCCAAAGTTCTCCACCTACATCATCTCTCACCTACGATTCCATCGGAGGGGAGCCTGGTGCCTTAGACCTAGCAGCAAACCCTGCTTCCTTAGAAATCTGCTCCTTGTTACAAGGCAAAAACTCTGTCCTGTCTGCCAGCCTATCCGGGAAGCCATCGTCCCCCCCGAAAATCCAAGTTTATGGTGACCTCCCAAGTGTCATGTAAGGAACTGCGGTAGGTAACCAATGCAAATAAAGCTCTGGATGGCAGCCCTTTTCTCTTTTCACCAGGAGAGGGAGCAAAGAGCTTTCTCCTTTCCCGCTGGTTCCATTGCTACCCTCACATGGTAACGTCCCTCCGGCTTCGATTTTGTTATTTCTGAAAAAAAATAGTAAGTAAAATCTGTTATTGCAAAAGTGAGGCAGGTTTCTGAACTCACCAGGTAAACAGACTGCCCTGTCAATGGTTACGGCCCTACCCAATTCACAGTCTATGCTGGTCAATTTCACGGTCATCTGACAGCATGGCAGATGTAAGGGTGGCATTACATCTGCACTGGTGCTGGCCGGGCATGGTAGGGAGAATGAAAAGCCCCTGGAGCTGCCTCCGGAATCCTGGAATGGGGCCCCACTGCAACCTCCGTGGGGCTGGGGGGAAGAACCCCAGAGGTGGAGCTGTGAGGGGTACAACCAAACGGAGTAGGTGTGCTGACCTGATGGGGGGTGGGGCTGGGCAGAACTGCTATGGGGCAGAACAGGGAGAGGGCTGGTGAGGCCTGCGGGGGGCAGAACTGCTGTGAGAAGGGGGCAGGATTGACTAGAGGCAGAATTAATTGCTGGGCAGATGTAGAGACGGTGAGCCACACTCATTTTCTCTCTCTCTCTCTCTCTCTCTCTCTCTCACACACACACACACACACACACACACACACACACACACACACACACACACACACACACACACACAAAAAAAGTGGGAGGTAAAAATCAGAAGACAGGCCCACAACCACAATGTAACCTTATTGCTTTTTAAATCACAGGATTTTTGGAGCCATCCTCATGATGTTGAGCAGATGCTGACTCCTGTTTCTTGCTCTTTTGAGAGTGGCTTTACTGCAGGTCTGAAATGCAGCTCGTCCCTCCTCTCCTTCAGACCAGGCTCCTAACCCAAATCCCCCGTGGATTGCCCGCCACTCCAGACCTGTGGCCATGTGTAGCCATCACCTTGGAAGTGCCGCCCACGGCTGAAAACATTGGCTCAGCGAGGCCAGAGCAATCCACTGCGGCAGCTGGGTTTAAAACTTTCTCCGCTGTCCATGCTCTTCTCCGTGGTGCCTGGCAAGTCTCCAGGGCCCATGATGAGAACGAGCTCCCACAGCTCCCATTGGTCACAGCGCCCCTAACCCTGTCCAGCTCCCCCCCCACTGTTTTCCTCTTCTCTTCCCTCCCCCTCTCTGTTCACCCTTTTCAGCCAAACCCCAGAACCCAAATGTAGCAATTTTTTTAAAAAAAAGCACCCACTTTTCCAAAATTGCTTTGTAGAGCAAACGGAGCATGTTTTCCAGATTGTGAATCTGAACATGCAGAACGTACCTAATTAAAAGCCCTAGATTTGGGAATAAAAAATGTCTGCCACGGGTTTTTGATATACCCTGAAGACTGCGAGAGATTTATTCATTCCACATTAACACACTGAATCCAAAATATGAAGTTAAATGAATCAGTCACAGAGGTTTAGTGTGTGCATAACAAAGTTCATTGTTATTAGAAAAAGGGAACATTAATTTAGTGTGTGTCATCGCCCTAATGATAGACATGTTTATGAAACGTCACCAGCTGTTGCCAACGATTTTAGGCATAACAAAGGATTTTATATCTTAATAAAATACTGATTTTGGTGGAGGATTCTTTTAAAAACTAGTTCAGCAAACAACAGTAAAAAAAGGGAAACGTATTTGTCCAGCTATCTGCCCCCATAATGGCTTAGAATGGGAAGACTTTGGAAGCGAGTTTTGTATACTCTAGTCACTAGAGTTAAACTGTGTATTTTAGCTAAGGGGGCTCTTTTGCAGAATTTATTTTAAAAACTGTGTGGCTGGCGAGCCAAGCATTTAAGGGGCAAGCGGAACACACAGCTTGTGCATCTTAAAAATCTACGCAAGGAATTTTTAGAGCTGCGATGTTATGAACTGCAGCAACCCACTAAAGAAACACGTAAAGCACATTTGAAGCTACGGTCCTGTTGTACTGGAATGGGTTACCTAGGGAAGTAGTGGAGTCGCCATCCCTAGAGGTGTTTAAGTCTCAGCTTGACAAAGCCCTGGCCGGGTTGATTCAGTTGGAATTGGTCCTGCCTAGAGCAGGGGGCTGGACTTGATGACCTTCTGTGGTCTCTTCCAGTTCTATGGTTCTATGATTCTATGACAGTGATGCACCGCTCTTTTGGCCAGCAAAGTCAGGCCTGTCAACTGGCTTCATTACCACGTGCTGGTGCTTTCCCAGGTTCAGTGTGACGCTACTACCTATTTGAAATCATGGGATGGTGGGCGGGCCAGTGTGACGCTACTAGGGCTGATGAGCCCAAAGGCTTTTCACTTTTCAGGTAATAGAGCCAAGTGTGGGGAAGAGTCACCAGTCTGAGTCACGTTGCAGATACCTTGCCATGCCAGTGGTCCAGGCTCCCTAGAGACTCCGATTTTGGTGGGCTAGACCCAGTCTGAAAGGAGGGCCCAGTGCACAGCTAGGCGAGTTGCAGGCTGGCCTGTGGGCGGAGGTGTCTTTGCACGCGGTGGCAGAAATGATCTGAGCCGGGTTCAAGTGGTGTAAGTGACCTAGGAGGGAAGACCGAAGGCATTGGGCTTGTTTATTTTGGAAAAGAGACGACCGAGAGGGGACATGATAGTGATTTTCAAGTATCTAAATGGATGTTACGAGGAGGAGAGAGAAAAATTGTTCTCCTTGGCCTCTCAGGACAGGACAAGAAGCAATGGGCTTAAACTGCAGCAAGGGAGGTTTAGGTTGGACATTAGGAAAAACTTCCTGCCTGTCAGGGTGGTGAAACACTGGAATAAATTGCCCAGGGAGGTTGTGGAATCCCCATCTCTGGAGATATTTAAGAGCAGGTTGGACAGACACCTGTCAGGGATGGTCTAGACGGTGCTTGGTCCTGCCGTGAGGGCCGGGGACTGGACTTGATGCCCTCTCAAGGTCCCTTCCAATTCTAGTGCTCTGGGAAAACCTGCCACAGCCTGTTGTGGAAGCCTTCAGGACTGGCCAGACAGGGATAGGAAGAGGAGAGAGGCTGAGCCACGCAGCAGGGCTGGGAACGCAACATGCGCACCATGCGCCTCTCTTCTGGCCTAGAAACTATTCTCTCTCTCCCGGGCTGCTCAGACACAAGTCAGGTGCAGGGTAGGGGGCCGTGGCTCCCTCACTTTCTACTTGCTGCGACGGTCAGCAGTGTGGGGAGGGGGTCAGAGAGGCGTGAGCAGGGGCGTGCGCAAGGGAGACATGAAGGCAGGGGAATTGGCAGGGCGGGGAGGGGCTCAGGGAAAAGGGGCAGAACAGGGAAGCAGATGGGGGGGAGCATGGCGTGGGAGGTGGCACCCCACTATTTTTAAGGTGCTTCTGCCTCGCCTTGCTCAGGCTTTGCTTTGACTGCTCTCCTCCAGCCAGAGGGGAAGCAGTCCTGGTGCCCCAGGTAGGGGTGAGGCTGCTGTGTTATTTGCATTGTGGTGATGCCTAGGCCCCAGTGTGCTAGGCGCTGCACAGACACCCACGGGCTGTTGGGTGGGGGCTGGAAAGGGCAGCACAGAGCAA